ATGAGTTTAAAAAGGCAGCATTCACTGCTACTGAGGGTCTCCTCCTCGCAGCTGTTGCAGCGATGGCTTGTACTTAATGAAATTTTCTCCCTCTTCCCTCTGAAAACTTAACACCTATAATTTAACATTTAAAACACAGCCTCTATTTATGCATCTCAAAGTTCAACAAAAATTCACATGCACTGACAGCATTTGATTTCTCGTAACAAAATCATTAAATTCATGCAGCAACAACTGAACTGCTCCATACACAGTATATAGTTAAAACTGCACAACTGAAGCCAAAATATGCACAGCTAAAAGGAATGTTACAGGGGGGCCTCTCTTAGTGAACAAAGCAGGCTCAGTTTGGCTCTTTTTCCCTAGCGCTACCACATCCGCACATCGTTAGTTGGAAAATTCCAGATATATGCTGTAATTTTTTGTGCTTTTTTTTCCCAGTACACTTGAGGCTTTAGTGTCCAGATGCCATTTTCCCCCCCTTATCTGTCCCTGGTAGTTTGGGTCTTTGCCAGTTGTGGTCAACAATTAATACAGCAAAAGAAAAATACAGTACACTCCCTGGCAACTGGCAGAGGCTCACAGGAAATACCAAATAAAAACTTTATTATGTATTGTTTAACTATTTTGTTTGCCTGTGGGCCACCCTGTTGTTGGTGTAATTTAGAAAAGCATGCTCCATCTGGATGATCTGTGCGCAGGCTCATTGTTCCCAGAATCTGTCACGCACAATCACTGCTTCAGCCTGTGGCCCTCTGCAGAAAGAAGCAAAGGCATGGCAGCCCTCCAGCCTGCATTCCTTTTCATTAGACAACTTGTGACCAAATGTTAGAATAGAAGAGTAACCTTTTAATATTCATGTAATTAATTTACTTTCCCCTTTAATTATAAACCTTCACGTGAAAAGAAGAAAATAAAAAGACTTTCCTTCATGATTCTATTCCATTCCCCATCCTTTCTGCTTGCTTTTTGGGACACAGAAGGTGCCAGGAGTTACACATAGGTACCAGCACCCCTGAATATTGGGAAATCCTCGTGGTCATAATATGCGTGTGACTTTTTACTTCACATATTAATTGCTCTGGTATATGGGGCATAATATAAGTTATAATAGAAATGGAGAAACGAAATTCTTCCTATCTATATGCTGTTAAAGCATCTGCTTCTTTCTCTTACTCACTCACACAGTCAACTGAATACAAAGCAATTCTGTATCTGAAAACACAACAGACATCTAATTGAATCTCCCTTTCACACTAAGGCCATCTTATGACTAAAAATACTGTGTCGTAACAGATTTTTGCTGTGTGGGCAATTCTGCTTTCCTAGAAAAAGGTGCCATTTCCTTCAGTTGAGGTTGACCAATGCTGAACTAGTTGACATGACATAAAAGTTTGCTCCCCACAACTCTACGAGTGTAACTGATTGCCAAGCAAAACATCTAACGATGTAGGTCTCACCATATGAGTTAATTGCAGAACACTGAGCTGAGGCCCTGATTTCTGTGTGGATACCTCTTCACTGCTGCAGACACCGAAAAAAAACCCATTAGAATAGGTAGTAACTCTAGTAGATAAAGCTAAGTTAGAAACTGCCTCTCTTCAAGTCACAGGATTTAAGTTCTCGTTGTCTGATTTTGACTGCAGGTTCAATCCTGCGAATGAGAACATTAAAAACTTACAGAAACTTGGCATATCAAAGAACAGGGGTCCAAAAGCAGTCAAGTATCCTATGGTTTCTATAGCAACTGAGGAACTGTTACCAAAACTCACTCATTTTCCTTTTATTAAATAAGATATACTGCCATGTTAAGTCTGCAAGTGATCAACATAGATGTTAGTGGTTCTGATCAGTCCATCCACCAAGCCATCATCAAAATGGAAAAGCACCATTGAGATTTTCTCTCTAAGGCCACATGGGCACAAAGATAATAAGGCAAGCCACAATGCCTTACATGAAAGCTTACATGAAGTTTCTGGAATATCTGGTAATTAGTTTTAAAATACTACATAATTGAATTGGAACAATCCTGTTTGCAAAGCACCTTTAGCAAAGAAAAGAACAGAACTTACGTCATTTGTCACATTAATTGAAAATTTGGGATATAATATTTCACATTTTCACCAGGAAAGAACGTCTGCTATGTGGCAAATAAACTGCTTGCACATAAAAAAAGAAGCATCTTCTGTCCAGAGTGCAAAGCAGCAACAGAACTCAAACACACCTTGGCCTAGAGGAACAAGAAACAATAATAAAATAAAAACAAGAAGAATAAAACAAAAACAAAGGAAAAAACCAACAGTGACAAATCCCTGACACTGTATTTGTATGGCGTCATTTTCCCTGATGAGGCACTGACTGTCCCTGTCTTCTTTTGCCTCCTCACCTTCTTATTGCTCTCCTGACTCCCAGCTGGCAATATTTAAGGTATGCATAATGATTGAGATGTGCCATTAAATATACTATGTTTGCATGAAAGAAAGAAGTAGGATGGGCTTTATTCTAACCAGAGTAGTGCAATTTTAAAAATTACTGAAGTATATTTATGACACCTAGGATAAAACAGCAGTCGAGCTCCTCCTACATTTCCAAATTCCTTCCTCATTTTTACTTCCTGACTAAATAAGCTAGAATGAAAATGTAAAAACCCTGTAATTTAATTTAAATGAATTTAAATTGCATTTCTGAGAGGATAAAACCCCAAGAATGAAGAGCAGTATATATAACTACACAGGATTAGGTGATAGAGTTTAAATCCTTGATTAGAAGCATTACATCAACTAAGAATAATTAATGTATTAACTAGAAGTTTATCATAGTAGAAACGTACAATACTTCTCCATTAACATACAATGTGATAAAGATCTTTAAAAAAGGTTATGAAAGAATACTAGATCTTGACTGAAATTTGTACAGCCCTTATCACAGTGATGTTCTGGATCTTAAAAGTGAATATTCTCTGCTGAGGGAATTATCACAGCAAAAGCTTAGCTGTAGGAAATTTCTTTACTGTTGTCAGAAAATAAATCTGTAGTTTCTCTAAATGAACTTAACCTGACAGGATTTTGTCATCTTTACAGCCCATCAACTTCAGTTCTGCTGGACAAATGTGGGGATACTTTGCAATGTCAATACTGTTCCAAGTCCACACACAGACGTATACAAGCCACGCAAAAGGAATTTTCCAGAAGATTGCAGCAGAATCATGCAGGAGGGAACAGTTTTGCTGAGCTCCTCAGTTGGACAACGTACTTACACAAACATGTTAATTCTGGGAAGTCCCAAAGCAATATTCAGAGCAGGATATTTCAGTCCTGAAATGAATTTTCAGTCAGGTCTGAAGGATATCCCTTCTCCATTTCAGAATGCATCTACCCAGAAATTACTGAGAGGCTGACATTCACAACTCTGAATGGGTTCCACACATGAAAGGACACGTAGAGAATCTTCAGAAGAAAATGTTAGACCCAACAAACTTATATAGTCTGTCACACACTCGTGCTGTCTTTTCAGACTTCTGGGTTTAATTACAGCTATTGTCTGTTGAGTTATTCATGTTATTAATCTAATGTAAATCAGACAACCTGGTGCTTGCATACTATTCTTTCTGCATAATGATGTGAAGAAGTGAAAACAGCAACTCCTTGATGCCAGCCTGGAGAATCCAAGTGATGAAGAAATCTCTCTGTAAAGGTGAGGGATGGAGCTATCGGGCAGAGCTGGATGATGAAGTCCACTCCAAATATAAGGGAAATGAGAACATTTACACATATGGATTAAGGAAAAAAAAGCAAAGTTTGGGGAAAATGTATCACTGCTTGCAAAGTCCAAGAACAGGAGTTTTTATTATTGCTCTTCTGTGAGTTTGTGGTAACGTCCAGTGCTAGCAAAGGGGATAAACCTGAATTAGCACACATTTAGAGTTAGTGTATGACTGCTGTTTTCAGTCAGAGGACCTGACGGTTTGATAGTGCAGGAGTCAATCTGTCGAATGTGGCTATACATAGAATGTGCACAGAGACTTCTCACAGCAGGGTGGGAACTCCACCCCTTTTAGGGCCTCCAGAACTCTCTGCAGGGTAAATATATAGCTGATGTTGCAAACACAAAGTAGAGTGAGACAGAATTCAGGAAACTCAGGCGCAGTTTAGAAGATGTTTACATTGACTATAAAAATCTAAAAACAGTGTTTACATTGAGAGAGGCTTTCTTTTCTGGCTTAACACAAATTCTTTATCCAAACTTGTCAAAACACAATGTGTGCACTTTCTAATTTTTAATCTGTGTTTACCTGATACAAACATGCATTTTTTTTTCTATAATTATTTTATCTAATGCTGCTTTTTAATCTGTTACATCTTTCAGTGCCTAGCTTGAACTTAACTTAATAATGGGGAGATGTTACCATTTTAGTTTTGCTGACAACTGCAGTTATGGATACATTTTATGTCGCACTGAATGCTGGGGTAGAGGATCTCACCTGGCTACTCTGATTTTTAAATGATGTACTCCAAGTATTACTTAACATCTTTCAATGCCTCTTCATATTCTTGAGCTGCCATAGAACTTTTCATTCACTCACTCATTGAAAATGAATCACCTGCAAGGCCTTGAGAAGCTTACTTTGCTATTATGACACCGCTGTGCTAACACTAGAAAAAAGAAAAGCAGTCTGTACTCTGCAAAGTACCTGTGGGAAGTCTGTGGTAAAAGTCCCTAACCTGAGTATATCACACGCCATTTCTGAAGGTCACTGCTGTTCTCTGTATACTCCACTCCTCCAAAGCAGTTTGAATGTTAGTTCAAAGAAAGTACTTCTATTTTCCAAATAGAATATGAAAACCCGAACTGAGAACCTGGCCACGGTGCAGCTATAGGGATTGACTGCATCGAAGCTAGGATTTCATGCCCTGGAGATTCAAAAACAGTGTGATAGTCCCACCTGCAGCAAAAATTTGAAGCTAAAACCAAAAAGGAGTAATTTTTTTGCTCCATGTTGGTTTTTTTTTTTTGCCTTCATTGATATCAAAAGGATTTTTGCTAGTCAAGTGACTATGCCTGCAGACACCAGGCTTCGTGTTTAAAACGCAGCTCATATGATAAATTATTTTCCTGCAAATTCACGGATTCTACATTTTCTGATGTTGATGGTAATATAAGTGGATTTGATACGCATTGAAAATCATTCACTAGTCCTGTATTTGACTTGAATCCATCTGGGCACAATGTATGATGCTGTTTCCTTTTAATGTCCTCTCGAACTCCAGTTCAAAATACGCTTAAAGCTCACAGCTCACTTCCCACAAACTGGAAAAGTCCACAGTTCAATGACAATTCTTTTGGCTCTTTTCCATCTACTTTATTATGTTTCTAGAAAACCAAGTTGCATTTTTTAATTAACTGCTTCATTTTTTTTCTCACAAACTGGTAAAAACTAGCTTTCTGGATCTGGGTTATACACAGACTTTGGTCCATTTAACAAGGTCAGACTGTTTATTCTTGACCAAATTCTTTCCCACTGTAAAAAGGTACTTTTAAATGCCACATTCCAAACCCAGTGCCAGTAAGTCACTGAAGCATATTTTCCCACAAGAACTGATACCATGCACAGGCCCCTCCTTATTTAATTCTTCTGGTGATAAAATTACATAAGGCGCAGGATGTTCTTAGTGTCACAAATCACTTAAATCTCTCTGTAGCTTAGTAGCACTGAATCTACACAGCGTCAGCTGTGTCTTTATTTACTTAAATAGTCGCATTCATTTCTGAGCGAGAGTGTCTCTTTAAAAACTGAGCAGCATTAGGCAGTGAAAGAGAAACAGAAAGACAATTAAATACAAAATTTAAATAGAAGGTAAAAATAAAGCAAATGCAAAATATTTTCTGCTGACTTAAAGACAGACTCTCTCATTCACCTTATAATTCAGTTTAGTCCAATGAAGCCATGCTGATTTATACCAGCTGAAGTACATGGCCATTCTGATGCACAGATGTAAGAAAATGCAAACTAGCAAAATACTTCCAATTTCTAAGCTATGCTTCCAAGCTGTTTTTCATGGATGGAACTGAAGTATAAATATGTAAACACGATTAAGGAAGAAAACATTACATTAAAAAGATACGTCTACTTCCGATCCTCTCAGATTAGTTGTTAAACTGAGCATGTTTTGAGATATACTTTTCTTCTTAATGGAAGATGGCATCTGGATTGTCCCAGTATACTACACTGCACACTAAGATGTTCAAATTTTCCAGCGATCTTCTGCATTTTAAGAATAACTTAATCGGTTCTGTTCTTTCAAATGCAATGTGGAACAGAGCACGTAAGAACAATGTTACAAATGTGCTTCCAAATACAGCAAAGTTCAAAACCATCTTCTCCTCAGACATCCTCTCATTGAAACGACAATATCAGTGATGGAAGCATCTTCTCTGAAGTGATCAGTAACATATTAGTAAAATAGCCCAAATTGCACCGTCCCTAAGGAACATAAGAATAAATATGTATTGCCCTTAGTGACTATTAGAACAAATTCACTCGAGTACTCAGACTGAAGCAGATTAAAAATACAGAATCATCAGGTAAAGTGTGTTTGATCATACTTTGATTCAAACAAAACACAGGAAAAAATACCCTCTCAAGTTAAAAAATGTTCATAGGTTTTCCTACCAGTTTTTTTTTCACCAAAATCTCAAAATCCTTAACGTGACTGTATATGCTCTAGCATGAAATCTATGCCCTGCTCCTATCTTGCACTGGAAGAATTCAGTCAACAATGTCCAACATAAAGAACTTGAAAACTAAACAAACAAACAATGATTCTTTTTGATGAAGAATGGCCTTAAAATTCTTCAGAAAAACTACTTGATTTCTATACTTTGTAGTGAACTGTAAGAATGCTAGAATATTTCATCACCATCCCTAAGAAATGCCTGGTTTTATGCCAAAGCGAACAGCTAGATTGCCTTTTCCATATTGCCAGTTAGTAGCACTAATACAAAGTAGCACTTGGTTTGTGACTCAGTGTTACTGGTATTCCAAGTGGATTCAGATGTATTATTATTATTTGAAAACGATTACTCCGAGTAGTATTATGGAAAGTTCATGTTATTCTATAAAGTCTCAACTGATTTATGGTACCCCCCAAAATATTACACTTTGGCAGCTCCTGACAGCTTTCATTTTCAATCTTACTTTTGGGGTAGTAAGTTTCCTACAGACTTAGGTCTTGCATTTTCTTATACTCAGAAACTTTCCACTATGTATATAAAAAGTATACATAGAAGAAAGATATTTTATGGTGGTTTGTTTGTTTGTTTTGTTTTTGTTTTTAAGATAGAACATCCTCAAGCCAAATTATAGTTTCTGCCTTAAATCTCATCAGCATAAGGACCCCTATGATATTTTTGTCAGAGGGAGGAGAAGCAAATGACATGAGGTGATCACAGAAGACAAGTATTTTTTTTTCATTCTGTTTTATAAAAAGGTTGTTTTATAAAAACCCTCTCTCCCTGAACAAAACAAACAGCAGGACATAGTTTTTCTCCAAGACTTATTCCAAATACTATATCCAGACCAGAGGGTCTCAGCTTTCTCAACATTTTGCTGTATATGTTCATTCTGACATCTGAGTGTTACTTGCGTGTATTTCCTGCACAGCTTCCAATTGTTTCTGTCTCTTACACACAGATATCTTCTCAAATACGAATTGCTCTTCTGCACTTCCATTCAGATTTCTGCCAAACCTGCTCACCCACATAGCTTAGATTCCTTACTGGCCTTGCATATGCCTTGTGTTTTGGGTGGGAGCTCTCAGTATTTCAGCCATGTATTCCAGAAAAGTACTTAATTGCTTTTACAGATTTATCCAAAACTAATGTCTGCGTTTATACTTCAGTTAGACTTTATTTCACTGGGAGCTGTCTCAGCGCTGCCCACATCTCGATGGAATTCTTGATAAGTGATGTTCTCTGTGACTCACCCCGAACACAGAAGGAAGAGTCCAGACAGCAGCAGTAGCAGGATAGACTTGGGCTGGATTCATCTCATCTGACTTCAGACTGGACTACAATGTAGATATTTACATCTCAGCTGGTCACACTCAGCAGTCAATGGGAAGAAGTACATCCTTTTAAGAGTCTGATTCATCTGACCTGTGTTAAATGCCGTCTTTAAGAAGAGATATCCTGCCCTTCATTTTCCTCATTACACTGATTAGTACATCTCCCTTGATTACTACTAGGCTCCACTTGTGATCTGCTTGACTTTATCTACTGCTAACAGCCAAGGTGGAAAACATTAGGAGTATTATACATTCACTGTAATAAGTATTAATTCTTTTGAGTAAGATATTTATTTTGCATGTTAACAGCCATACCAAATATTATACTATCATATTTCTCCGAACTAGAGCTAAGAGTAAAGCCCAAAATTAGATGAAGGCACATTTCTGCCTATATATTTATTCAAAAAATATTTCATCTTCCTTCTTATCAGCAATAACTTGGCTGTTTAGATGGCAGACTTCCGGAGTTAGACTCTTATATGGGACACTCAAGGTACAGATTACATTGTTGTTAAATTAAAAAAAAAAACAACAAAATTTTTCTGCTTCCTAAGCAGAAAGTTCCTACTCCCATTTTTCCTCTTTTAAATCTACACCATGACCCCAAAACAAAATCAACATGAATTTGCACATTTGCCTTCCCTTCTTTCCTGCCTGAGATTTTAGTCACTAGATTCCCTGCTCATATTTTCGAAGTGTAAAGGGTATTTCCATAGACTGTATAAGCAGAACAACTTTGCCTTGCATTCGCTACAGAAGTACAGACAGCAAAATCCAAAATTATTATTAGGTGTTCCACTGCTTTAGCTACTGTCTTACACTGAAATTCTATATGCTACATTTTCAAATTTAATTTTCCTAATTTTTGCAATGGAGAACTTCTGTGTACATTTGAGAACAATTAAATGTTTTATTTTCAAGCATCCTATTGAACTTTTTAGTGAGGCTCATCAGTAAATAATTCATGGCCTTTCTACACTTCATAGAGACAGTTACACACATAAATATCCTAGTATCTACTGCTGCTGTTCGTCTGTCAGACCTAAACAAAAACTCAAGCCAATGCATGTACCTGCAAGGTCTGACAACCAGTCTGGAGGAACTTCCTGAACTATTTTGGAAGCTTTTGTTAGATAACTATAAGGTTATGCCCTGACTAGTCTTGTAATTGTGAAAAGCATTCTGTATTTATCTTTCATGACACTTACATTTAATTGAATTATTCCTTATTCTTGGAATTGATGTCAATTTTTCTTGTTTTATAAATTACACCTGGTACTCTTTGTCCTTGCCTACAGACACAATTTATTGAATCACAATCTCCTTTTTCATTCCCTCTTCTAAACATGGAACTCTTCTGCTTGAGTTTCAGACAAGCAGATTCTATGTTAGTTTATCATGTTCTGATTCCTCTCAAAAGGAAAAATAAAAAGGAAATATTCAAGTTCCATAGCAAATCTTGCAGATTCTTACAGTGCATTTGACTTCTTTGTTTTATCTTGATTGCAATTCCCAATCATTGCTAATATATCTTGTTAGGCTCCATGGTATCTGTGTGCTAGAAGAATGCAAGCATCCTCAGTGCTCTCTTCCTCCTCTCTCCCGCTCTTAGTAGTGTTCAAACGCACTAAGGTTGCTAACTATCTTTGACTCGTACATCATGGTCTGACAGCATCTCTGAATAGCTGAAGCTGAGTATGAATTCTGAAGCACCATCAGAGCTGGGCCGCCTAGGAGGACTACCAGAAAAAGTTCCTTTCTGTGCCTTTTTCTCACTATTCATTCAAGGTTCAATGCCGAAGTCCACTGTCCCTGTTCTCCCGTATTTTCAGTAGGCATTTCTGTTATTTGAGCTGGGAAATAAGAAGTTGTCAGGAAGAACACTAAGTAAAAGGCACACATAGGGTCTCCTGGTTGGTTCATTTTCACATTCAGTTGTTCACTTTACTTCCACAGTAGCCTGTTTTGCTTAATTTCACACAATGCTTTTTCAGCTCAAGTCTTTGTTGCAGGTTATTTCTGTTACCCAGTTTCAAGTTTATCCAAGCTTTTCTGGCATCCCATATTCCATGGAAAGCCCTCTGATAGGGGGCAGTTGGTTGTCATTCACTGATGTCACTTGCCAAATCCATTTGTTTTCCAGATGGGAAACGCATCAAGCAGACTTCTCAATCCATCTGGACTTTTTCAACTTGCTATCCTGACAAATATTCCATTTTTGCCTTCAGATCATTGTTCACATCTACTTGGGAAACTTCCAGGTGGTCTTTTCACTTCCTTAGTGAAGCGTCTCTCTGTTTTATGTCTCATTTTAATTCTTTGCCCTCCCATGTTAGGCTTTTATTAATTGTAACCTCTTTTTGTTATGTTCTAAGAAACAGAACATAGACCTATTTGTTCTATGTCATCTCAATACAGCTAAGCAGTTCACCATTTCTGCCTTTGCAAAATGATTTCACCCTGACATTTATGCCAGGGTGCATTATGCCTTCTGACATGTTGAAAGCTGTTTCCATTCAGGGAGGAGCTCAAGAAAGATATCTCTGTTAAACTTGACCATGTAATTGACGTAAGGACTTGAAAGGACAAATACAGAGAATCACTCATCAAGAACAGCCAGTTGCATCACAGAAATTCAGTGAGCTCCCTCTCAGAATCAGTTATATTTATTGCCTGCACTGGTCCTCATATAGAGTGCTTCAGAATCTCAATTATTGTTTTCTAACTTCCTGACTAAATTAATTTAAGGCTACTTCACACTATCTAGATCTCATGACATTGTTCTTTTAGTCATTTTCTCCCTCTCTGCCCCCTTCCTGATGTTTTTAGATATAATTTCCATCTACAAAATCATGACTGTGTTACCTTTAGGTTTTTCTTCTGCCTCACAGAAAATAGGATCCCCCATTCTCTATTAATAGATACCTTCCCTGTGCCAATTCTTGTTCAAAATCTTTTCTATTAAAAGAAGAAAGCAAACAGTACACAGTATTCTGGATGAGGTCTGATCAACTAATTTGTGTTGTAGTATTAGCATTTTTTCATTTTTAACAAAATACTCTGCATGTAACAGTCTAAATTTCAATTTGCTCTTTTCATGCACCAGACCAGTGACTCACAAGATGGCTTTGATCTTTGCAGCTTGTTATCAAGCTATTGGTAGATACTCAAAACTGAGAAACTCACCTTCTAGATCACTGATTCTTCTAGTGTAACCTGTTTTCGTCTGCATTTGTCCACTTAATTCTAAAAGATGGTAATTTTAGAGAAATTCAGATTAGGTTGTACACTATACTGGAATCTGGATAAACTAGGACTACTAAACCTCCATGGTTTAGCAAATGAGTTATCTTTTCACTTTTCACAAGAACTAATGTATACAGCAATATGTAATAGATTTCTCTAGGAAGCCAACCACAAGGCCTTGGACATCTGCTACCATTCAGCATATAAAAACAAAGAATATAATGATGTTAAATTAAGAATGGAAATTGAAGGTTGGACATCAAGGAAACTTTCTGAGAGTGATTATATAGAAGTTTTGGAGCAGACTCCCCTGGGAAGTTATGGAATCCCTATTTCTTGACACATTTAAAGTTAACAATTGTAAAACACTAGAAATGACATAACAGAACTATCCTGCCTGACTCATAAAAAGACTGGGTGATTTCATGTCTCTTCTGCTTTTAAGCCCTAGAAATTCCACACTGGTGACACTGGTCAAGTTCTAAATAATGTTAAGCTAAAAGAAATTTCCTCTGGTGTACCTGGACAAGAGAATTTTCAGTTAGGAATAACTTCTACAGCAGGAATTTGGACAGTGAACAGAGAAAATTTATGGATACTTCCCCAGTACAGCATATTTTTACTGTATGTAAAGCCCTGAGAGCATTTCTGTCAGCAGTGTAGGGATGCCTACCTTCAATCCAGAATAGCAAGTGCTTAAGGGGAGTGTGGCAGTGCTCTGCTCATTTTCCTTTCCCCATCTCACATTCAAGAACGCAACAGGCCCATACTTGCTAGCCCTGTGTGTGTTGATAAGAGCATAACCTAGGGCTGTATTTTAGTGTTTCAGGATGGTTTGAAATTATGTGGGAACAGTTTTGTAAATACACAAGGAGAGACGTTGTCAAACAATCAAATTGTTTTCACAATCCAACCCTCTCAATTATCTCTGAGAGCAGTTGTAAAAACAGACCCGCTTAAATCATCAGAAAAATGGTACGAAGACAATGTAAATCACTGGGTGGGGGAAATGCACTATATATATCTGAAAGCAGAAAATAGAAGTAAGGGCAGGCAACATCTGGATACTCTTCTATAACACAGAGAAAATGCACACTAGTAATTTTCTGCCTTTCCTTACCCCTCTTACACCCAGCCCCCTTGCTTTTTGAGCAGTTTAAGCACAGCTTGTTCCTTGTAATTCCAGTTCTTCTACATCCCAAGTGAGTTCACCAGATATCTGCATGAAAACTTTAAGTCAGTAGTGTGTTACTAACAATGTCAATGTTTACTGAATCTTGTTAAGCCAAAAAAAAAAAAAAGGAAAATAAAGAGACAAGACAAGAAAGAAGAACATAAGAACATTTCATTTTTTCTTCACAGCAACATGTGGAGGCCTATTCACACTGAATACTTTTTTCTCACACCATGGGAACTGCTTTGATACAAAATAATACCGGTTTTCAACCAGATCTAGAAAGAAAATGTCTCACAGAAGTAAAATGAAGAGGAACCTAAGTAAAATTAACACATGTCAGATTCAAAATAAAATAACGAACTTTCTTTACAGTATGGAAGTTAGCTGCAGCCAAGAAAATAAAATGTCCAAAAAGGAATGAGATGAATTTGTAGAGGACGAGTCCTTCAGTAATTATTAAAGACAATGACTGAGATACAACCTCCAGCACTGACAATTGCTAAATTCCTGATTGCTGGAATCTGGATTCTTGATATTACCCTCCTTCATAAGCATTCTCTGTTGGACATCATCTTTTGATAAAGAGCCCAGCAGAAACCTTCTTCATTCTGATATGAATCGTACAAGGAATTCTATCTTTTCTCCTTTTTTTCCATCAACACAAAGAAGACTTATTCAGCAAGGTTGAACTAGTACAACTGCAGGGCTGCAAAACATGCTCAGCTCAGTGTGGACAAACTCTGTAATCACATGAGATACATTCTAATACTGCAGCCCTGAAAAGAAGTTTATTTGGCACAGAAGACATTCTCATGTGGAGCCAATTTGCTTGTTTACTGTAAAGTAATTTCCATTCTTTTAAAGATTAAAAGATTGTCTTTTTATGATTCATGATAGTCCTGGGCCTGAAGGACTATCCTCACAGCAGAGGGTTGCATTCCCTGCATTCCTAGCAGGTCTCGAGGGTGAGTTACGGTATCAGCTGTGGAGGAACAGCACAGAGCCCTGAACTCAGGCCTTGGCACTTGGAGGTTAAGAAATACTTCAAACATTAATACAGATACAAGTTTTCTTAACATCAGATACAGTAACAGCCTTAAATGAACCAGTAACTGGTTGTTCATCTATCATCTTCAAAACAGGGCAAGTTGGTGTGAACTATGAGGTTTTGAAAAACATTTCCGCGTTTCAGTTTTTCTGAGTCTTCAGCTGAAGAACTTCAGATGTGGTTTCATAACCAACTCCAACAAACCTAAGACTGTGATCTCTATGGAGAGGATGACCCCATCCTTCTGCTCACCCTCCTCCGTGTCAGTCAGCGCTTTCACTCACATGGCCATGCACTGATTTGTGTTGCCTAATCCAACTGAAGATGAGGAACTCCTTTTTGCGGGGCTCATTTTCAGGTAAACTGCAAGTTCATGACCACTATGGGTGATCATGAGCCAGCAGTGTGTGGCTGAAAGCAGGACCATCCTTTCTGCAGCAGTAGAAATGTTGTGTCTACTTATGCTGGCTGTAAAATGGCACCCTTAGAATACCATCTCCAGGATGCATTTCTAAGAATAACACTCTTCCTTTGTCTCTCTGTGAGCACTCTTCTAGACAAGTCTAAAAGCTTTCAAATATCTTGTGATGGGCACCAAGAATTAATGGTCAGTTTTCAGAATGATCCCATGTCACTATCATGATAACAGAACAAAAGCAACTTCTATTTTAATTTCCTAAGTTTGTCTACGCGTATTTCTGTATTGGCCTTTGATGTTTTATTAAGCAATCTGTTTGTCCATAGGTATTTTCATGTAAATCTGAGCTCTCTTTGTGAACATCTGATTGAAGTAAAATCAACATAAATATACATTGAAATGATTTTAGTGAGCTGCAGAGTTTCCTGTCAATGTGCTGCTAATTATTTTTGTTCTTAAGATGGCTCCAGAGATAATGACCCTTTTTATATGATGGAAATAGTTTTTCCTATATGGGGGGATGCTATCTGGTTGTTTGCTTCACAAAGCAAGATACATGGACCTTTTATGCAGAACTCTATATTAGTAGGGAAGAAAGATTCTCCTTAAATAAGGCAACCAATTTAATCACAATGCATTCCTAAATAACCACAACCTTTCAGCAGCAGCACTCAAAAGCTCAACAACACATATTTTGATCCTTTGACTGGCTGGCTGTGACTCATTTTCCTTTTCAGGGACACTTGGGTGGACTAGAGAAATGCACCGTGAGGGAAGAGCTAAAGATGAGCTCAGACCTAAGGTAATGTGCCTCCTCACATCAGTGAAGACTCAGTGCATACCAAAACAATGTTACCTCCACCTGTCTGAGGGAGCAAGACTTATATTCTTATCAAAATCCATATGACACAAAATCCAGTGTTGCTTTACTAATTCCACTGGGGCACCTCTTAACACAGCCCATACTGTGCCTCTGATTCACCAGAGGCAGGCTCTTGATTAATTTCTGTAGGCCCACCTTTGTGTTTGATGTTAACTGTGAGCTATAAGGAGACTGCTGAATCAGGCTCACTCAGGGTTACCCAACGCCTCTCAGGCTAAAGTTGCAATGAAGCAGACTCTGGCTTTGCTGGAACATATCTGGCATAGGAACGGACTCTGCAGGATTTATTACATACACATAAATATTTGGATTTTGGGAAGCATAGTGTCATTGAAAGGTGGCTGAATAAAGAAAGGAAAAGATAGAAAGAACAAATCAAAGCAGAAGAAATTTCTTTGTGTTGTTTCCAAGCTCTTAACTATCATATTAGCTCAAACAAGAGCCTACATTCACAGTATTTATTTATTAACAAGTGGTAACTTACAATGCAGCACTGGACAGAAAACAGGAAAGCGCTCTTTTCTTTTGGAAGAACTTTTTTCCATCTTTTCTGTTGTTGCTTTTGTTGCTGTAACTAATTTATATATTTATTTTACAAAGTAAGCCCAGTTAACGAAACTTATTTTATGCTCCCTTGCTACTATACCAACAAAACGAAACCCAAGTTCCTGCATGATGTGACATGTAAACCATTTGTGCTGAAGTGACTGCCAGGAAACGGATGGAAAGTTTTTATCCTGAAGAAAAAACACTCAAATAAAATGCTAGCGTAATCTAAAATTATTCACTGACAATAACTACGGGATTTTTTGTTGTTTTTTTTTTTGTCAACCTAGCAGAGCCCAGCATTAAACAATTTAGGGCATCAGAAGAGAAAGTGATACATTGTCCTTTCTGATGTTCAGTAAATCTAAAAGTAAACTTTTTTTTTTAAAGGAAGACATAAAACAATTTTGTTTGCATTTCATGGGAAAAAAAACATCAGTAGTGCTGCCATCTAAGGTAAAGCACACATGTTTTCAAAGAAAGCATTGTGTGTTAGCAACATCTTGCCAGTTTCACTCAGGTTCTTTAAGGCAGGTCATGATTTAAAAGCTGGACATCCCCAGCTCCACCTACATGCTATGATCACAACTGTGTGTGCTTATCTCAGAGTTCTGCTGTGCCATGATTCAGCTTCATTTATTTTCTTTAAGGCAGCTAGAAGTCAGGAAAGGACAGATGAATAGCTTATTTCTTTTTCATAATGCAACTTCAAATTTTCAAGACAGCCACCTGCTCCTTTGTTGAGAGAAAGTTAAAACCGAGAGCCCATTTTTCTGAGCCAGAGAAAAATGTAGATACTTCATTAGCTTTTACCATCAAACTCTAAAATTACAAAGTCACATCAATTCACCTCTTCTCTCCTATGGAGCTTCTCTGCTATCACAAAGCCTATTCAAAATTTCCCCAAGGGCCAAAACCAACACTTGAAAAAGAGGCTAACTTAGGATGAAACTGAAAGCGTGCTCTATTATCCTCCATCTGAGACTCCCCGCCCCAACCTTGTTCTCTCTCTCATGCTCTTATTTCAGACCTGTATCAGCGCTCAGTCTGACCACAGCTGGTAGCACTGATCTCCACCCTGCCCCCCCAAGGATGTGTAACATTAGTTTGAATCTTTTATTCAGTCACCGAAGAAAATATCAAGAGGTCTCTAAAACGACTGCAGCACGCCAAGACAACAGATCTGCCAGAAGGATTCTTCAGCACTGGAGAAATAACCGGCTGTAAGAGAGAGCCTGCCTTGAAGTTACCACTTGCAGCACCCAGAGTACCAGGGCTGGATTAGATCGTACTGGATTACTTTCATGGCAAGCTCTTTTTGTCCCAGTTGAAGAGTTCCTCTGTGAGCAAAGAATGAGGATGCATCTTGGGAATGATCTGATACTTCAAAAGATGCTTCTTGTAGCAGTTCATCCTGCAGAAAGATTCTCTTCTGAAGGAAATGTTGCAGAGCCCTTGTGTTGATCACAATGATAGCACATGCTTTTTATTCTTGCCTGTCTGCATTATCACTTTTTAATAAAAATCCAAAATCAATCCTTGCAAGCTGAGAGTTTTATTAATTGACACATGTTTAGATATACACTGTTTTTCCTAAGGCAATATTTTTTTCTGCAAACACATCAAAACAAATCTGGAAGTCAATGAAAGTTTACTCACTGCCTGGCAAGGGTGCAATTTAGACTTTATTTTGGGAACAATAAAGTCAATAATATCTTTTTCTTTGTGTTTAAAAAACAGAAGAGGTTTAAAAAAAAAAATGTTTCCTGCACTGAATGTTAAGGGAGGAAAAAAGCAAAAAAAGGATTAGCGCACCAAAGCAGCTTCTCAAAAATAAAAGTTAAGTTCAGAAGAGGAAAACTCATGGCCTAATGGGGCCAGCTAATACACATTTAGTAAGTCTCTAACCAATGCAAATTCTGGAAGAGCAATGAAGACCGACATTTAAAACCACACAACATTATTACATTGCACGGAGGGCTCATCTTTGGTTAGTGCACACACAGACAAAAGTTGATTCTAAAGGTTTTTAGCACAAGGTGTTTCAAAAACCACTGTTTTTTTAACTTAAGAAAGCATCCTTTTTCTTAGGCCTGCCATCAGCACAAAAATTCTATCAATACACTGTCTTTGGGTCACAGCTTTGATTTTTAAAAAAGAAAATCCTAATAGAGTAAATTTCAGGTGTGAAGGCCATTATTCATGCCTACATCCATACACTTTACTTGTCCTTGGCGCCTGAATAATTCAACTATTTTAATACTCTTCAGCATAGCTGCAATGACAGTGGCATTGTGTTAACACAGGACTTACTTGCACATGGACACCCTCAGCCTAAAGATCTCTTGTTTACTTGCACATGGACACCCTCAGCCTAAAGATCTCTTGTTCACAGCAATGCAAAGGATATCAGCGGATGGGTTTTGAGCCACTACTTCCAGCAGGCATACCTTTCACATAAGAATTCTGGCAGTGTTCTCATACTAGCAGATATTGGTATGGTTTTATCACAGTAAATGTATTAGAATGTATTAGCATTGTATTTCTGGGTCTTCCAACCTTCCTTCCTATGCAGGCTACATGATCAATCATGGACAAACTCCAGCACAGTTCGGTAGATGTTTTCTCCTCATGTCATGCACAGCTTTTCAAAAGCACACTGCTGGCAGCCATAGATAACTCCACAGTTTTAGTTCAAAGGATTTTATGGATCAATAGAAACAAACACTGAAACTATTACTGTTTCTGACTACCTGATGAAACATTACAGCAATTTAGGAACAACTTTTCTCTGCTTTTCTTCTGAGCTCTGTTTTAGTTACAATATGATCAGCCCTCACTGTCCTCAGCTGAGATATTCTTTCAGTTTTGGATTAGGCTACAACCTACAAGCAATGGAAGAAAAAACCCAAAACCAATCCTAAAACACAAGTTTACTTATGCTTTATGCGAAGAGGATACTTTCATATATTTACCAAGATGATGTTTTAGTTTGCTGCTGCTTCCTGCCTTCATTCACACTGACACCAGAACCCAGGATGTCATTGTTACCTCACAGAGTGGTAGTGAGACTCTTACAGCAATAACAGTGGATTGCTTTCGATCAGTGTGAGCCAGGCTAACTTCTACAGTACAATGCAAAATGCAAAGTGGACACCTTTCAGTTTCTCTTCTCCTTTTCTCCCTTGCCTGTCTTTACCATAAGTAATACTACCACGGCAGTTGTGACACTTGAAACACAAAATAGAAAATTATTCATGAGCAAGCAACAAAAACAAATGACACCCAACGTGGACACAGCACTGTTCCTCTTTTAAACACTTAGGTGTGCCAAGCTCACAACAGCTGATTTTGGAGGCAGGGAAGCAAGTGTGGAAACAGGGTCAAAAAGCAAAGGGCTGGCAGAGCTTTCCTACAAGAATTAAAGCAGGAGAAGGCCAGATCTTCTGGGACCAAGCTCATGTCTGTCAAGGACAAGCAGAGGAGATCCTTGGAGAGGGGCAACAGTGGCAGGGAGTCTAGAGATACTAGAGGTGCTCTTTAACAGCTAGTTTGGGACATACCTGTGATTTTAGCTGCCAGGTCCACTTCAGCAGCCTCCAACACTATGTGGAATCACCCACTAAAATATGGGAGCAAACACCAAATCCATATTCACGCAGATGGGAAATCACAGGTATGAGTGTGGAATTTCCAAAATTATCTGTGTATTTTTTTCAGGCAAGACTACTTCAGCTTCAACATGAATTTTATCTCAAAATAGGTATACTTTGGAAATTTTCACCATACCTACAGGGTTTAACATGCAAAACAGGCCCAAATCACAACAGAAGCTAGACTGCTGAGGTTTCAGAAAACTAGCACATACCTATCTTTCAGTGATCAGTCATGATTTAATTTTGAACCAGTAATCAGTAATTGATTACTTTTACAAAGTAACCATAACAAATTCAGTCCAGGCAGGAAAGCAATTGTTTTACACACACAAGTAACTTCACCAGTAGAGATGATTTTAGAAGCAGAGTTAAATACGTTATTTATCAGGGCCATAGAGACTAAAGCACTGTGCCAAATTAAAAGAAAAATTAAAAGCCTCCAGAAACTTACCACTGATGTAAGAGCCATCTGAAAACTGTAGATTCGTGCAAGGCCAAAGTCAGCTAACTTGATCTGTCCACTGCTGGTTACAAGGATATTTTGGGGTTTCAGGTCCCGATGCACCACACGATGTGAATGCAGAAAATCCAGTCCCCGAAACAGCTGAAGCATCATATCCTAAGTATAAGGAAGAAATCAATACGCAATTATTAAGACAAGGCAAACACCCAGCTGCAGTCTGCAGAACTAATTTAAGTATTGACTTGAGATAAAAACTCACCTATTAATATAAAATGGACAGGATATTGCTAGAACCTGTTGACTTGAATAGGTGCACTTATCAAGTTCATGTATCATTTCTAGTGGAATTATTTGTGGTTAATTGTTGAAAGCATAAAGACTGTTCAACAAACCTAAATAACAAAAGCAAGTCTGCAAAACACAGATCAACTTTTAATGAATGCTGTCCAAGTGAGAAAAATATATTGCAGCTTTTTGGTTTTAACTTTAAACCACGCATCACTTTGCACTTCCCAGCTGTCTGCTTTGTCTTGCCCCAGTGAAGTGAAATCTTGTTATTCACTTCAATAGGCACAGGCTCTGTTTCAAACAGAAAAGCTAATTAAATGACTGTTTTGTCAGAATTTAATGTTACAGTGGGAAGAAAGTTTACTTGTCAAAACTCGTTCTATAGAATATACTGAAAAGTGTAGAAACTACTTAGATCAAACTTCAGCACTAAATCAGTGTAATAATTCCCATTTGGCTTTCTGTTGTGTTATGGTGATGCAATCTTTTATGACACTTGCTCAGAAGACACTGTACCCATGTTTTCATACTAATCTGTGTAATGTGAAAGGAATGAACCAAGAGACTCAAAACTAAATACTAGAAACCCCCAGAATTCCAAATGAGAGGGATACCATCAACTTGAAAAGTGTATTTGCAAAACAAATAGCTACAAGGAGATGTTGCAGTGAGCAAGAAACAAAAGGAGTAAGTTAATTTTCTGTGTGCACTTGACTTGAGTTGATGGAAGTCCAGCCCTGTGTTTGCTGATAACATATGTGTTTTCCACAAGCAATGCAGGAGGCTCTCTGCCAATCCTGTCATCAGCAACCAAAATGATCTTGAAGAGGTGGATGGTATGAAACATAGGAAAAAGGTAGGATAAACTGAGTTTGGTTGCTTTTGTTCTTATGATCATCACACGAACAGGAAAAACCCAACATTTTTACAAGAAAACATTCAAAGCATACTATGAAAAAGAATCCTAGCTGAAAATTGATTTTAAAATAGCTCAAAACATTCAACTTGATAATACTGCTTTAGCTAGATGTATTTTTAAGAAAAACTTTGACACTTCTATGTAATTTAATATAAAATGAAATGTTCCAAATCATCACCACAGAAAATATTATATAATGTATAAATACTAAGGCTGGAAGCTCTAATCTGACCTCTGATAAAACATGCCCATTATTATATACAGCCTACAACTCCTTCTGCCAAACAGTAGTAACAGTGGGCTGTTGATTCAGAGATCAGTTTTGATTTGAAGATTCAAACAATGAAGATACTAACATGAAACTATGGAATCTGTGGCAACATTTAAGTATAATGACCTCTGAAGGATGGTGGTAAACTGAGCTCTCGATTCGATTCTGACGCCTTTTATTTCCTTTGCTTCCTTAGGAAAAACAGAGATCTGGTCATTTTGATAACTAGCTTAATAGGGTTTGCTCTTCTAAAACACATATACAAAGTGTAGTGAATTTTCCTGTATTTTTATAATTTCCCTTTGCAACTCGGAAATATGTGGAAGAGCTATGACTACAGCCCTGCAGGTCCCCAGCATCAGTAGAATTAAAATGTGTCATACCTGGTCACTATTTTAACTTAAGTCAAATCCCAATAGTCTTTGGATGAGTCTTGAAGAGTAACAGAACATATCAAAAACATTTAACCATGTGGTTATCTTATGCATGTAAAGTTTCACTGAATTTGGGTCTAACTATTTTATTCCAGATAAACATGATACCAGAAAAAATAACAACCAAATTTAAAGAACTTCAATATTAGTCAGTAGACCCTGGCAAGTCCCTTTTTGTGACATTTCCGCATCCTATTCATTTGTCAAGAATGTAAACTCATTCCTGCAGCTACCAAACACATCAAGAATTTTCTCATGCTGTTTCTGTTTCACATTTCCCCCTCAAGCTCAGTGAATGTAGTCATGCTCTGCTAGTTGCAAGTTGCAAGCAATGTCTTCAGTTTCTGAATTCATAATCTTCTTCCAGGCATGCATCAAATATATTATATATATCTGAAAAAGGAAACTGGTATTTCATTCTCTCCTCCCATAGGACTCAAAAGATGAATAGCATTTACTGAAGCTCTGTTCGCACACACAGGAAAAGATGCACAGCAGAGAAGTGTATCAGGAAAGTGTGCATTAAAAAATGTATAAAGAAGGAGAAAAACTGGGGGAAAAAGTGCTATATTTCTTCTTCATGGAAATTCAGATTTACTCCATACAGGCTATTCATTATTCATTTTGGACAGTTGATTATGCTCTTTTGTTTGCCTTGTTGTTCAGTATTGTACATATGAACAGATTTCAGCCGAAAACTTGCAAGACTGTTTTAGAAGAACCTGCTAGGTAAAGAGTTGAACCCCAAATTACACAACAAAGTCTGATTATTATGCGCTTTAAATGTCGAATACCAAGCGGTGGTCAGAATTTGAGATTCGTTTGCACAAATTATTTATTAAAAAAAAAGAGTAACAAACAGATTTTCCTTATCAAAGCAAGCAAAAGAGAAAGCTTTTTTTTTTTTTTTCAAATCCATAATGAATTTTTTGCTGTCCAGAAGCTTGGTCTAGAAACTTCGGCCTCACATTTAGAAATTATTTCATACTCTCAGTAGAGTACTTGCAAGAAAGTACTTGAAATAAAGTCTTGTCTGTTTTCTTGTGTGTTTTCTTTGATAGCATTACTAACTTCAAAAGATACTAACGTTTGCTAGCCAACTGGATAAAGGTTGTAAGTATGCACAAAACACATCTCTAGCTAACTAGATCAGAATAATTTCCCTCATCCACTGGAAGAGCATCCAGTTTTATTAGCATTATCCCAACTGCCACAATTTGCTCTATGTCTGCGTTTCCCTGAGATACTTTCCACTGTACCTTGGCATACCATACGTTTGATCTGTAGTTAAAATCACAATTAATAAATTAATTGAAAAATGATACAATTCTATTTGATAAACAAGAAGATTCATTTCTTAGCAGATTTGAGTAGCAAGCTCTAGCAAGTCATGCTCTAATCTCAATCAGATATTCTTTGGGTCTTTTATATTTACAAAAAGATATCAAACAGTGACTGTTTCAAATTAGACATTTCTACCAATCTCACCAATCCTACAATAGCTGTTGCCTGAGTGGAAAATATATATATTATTCCACTGTGATTGCTTTCAGATAATCATGATCTTAAAAAGTTTTCCCTTTTCAGGCTGCATTTTCAAAGTAGTCTATGCAGAGACCTAAAATATTTATCTGTAACTGCTGAAAACTGAGCTATTTTGAGATGCAACGAACCAAAATACTTTCCTCAGAGGCAAAAATGTAGCTTCAATTTTGCAAAAGTCTTATAATGGAAACAGTAAGAAGCAAAAATCGTTATGGAAATGACACAAGTTTTATATGTTCCACCACATATGGTATTGATGATGGCATTCCTAAATCTGGAATATTAAATTAAATACGGATATTTACTGAATGCTGGAACCAAATTATGAGAAAATTTTCCAGTAGTGCCATATTATATCATTGATACACAGAAATATACTTATTTCTGCTCATAATTGGCTCCTAGTACTGATGAGGACAGGGACAGATTTGGATTAGCAGGAGCAGCTGCTGCTGCTGCCTCTGCCAAAGATGGAATTCACAGCTTACCTCTAACTCAGGTGCCAGAGGAAAAAGCCTTGATTTCCTCCAAACTTCATCTCTTCTTCCGATCCTTTCTGGACCCTCACTCTTAAACTTCCTGCAGCTTCTGATCTACACGTCCCTTCCAAGTTACTGGTTTTGAAAACACCACTCTGATACTTTAAGAGCTCCCCACCATTCTGATTTCCAGCTAACATTATCTGTCACTTGCCTATGTTATCTTACTTGTCTAAGGTCAGACAGATTTCTCTGCAGAACTCACACAATGAAACTGTATTTATCTCCATTCACTATTAGGCCACATATACCATAGGGAATCACAAGGAAATTTTTCCACAAACATTTTCAAACATAGTTTTCAGCATACAAAAGAGGACGGAAAGTAGGAGGTGCTTCATGACAGAGCAGATAACTGTCTACACAGCAACCCGTGGAGGATCCATGCCGGAGCAGGTGGATATTCCCAAAGATGTGGTCTGTGTAGAGGACCCATGCTGGAGCAGGTGAGAAGGAGGAAGGAGAGGCAGAAAGAACTGTTAGGAGAGGACAGTAGCCCAACAAATATTACCCCCTGCAGCCCTTGGGGAGGAGAGGGCTCATGGGGGATGTGAGACTCAAAACAGGCAGTGGAAGGGGTTATTTTAAAGTGCTGTTTTATTATTTGTTTTTTTTCTTCCTCAGTACCCAAATTAGTAATGAAATACTTATCTTAATCAGCATTAAACTTAAGACCAAAGCAAGTCTGTTTTAACCCTGATAGCAATTGATAAGCAATGTCCCTGTTTCATCTCAGCTCACAGGTTTTCTCCTTCCCGCTTTTCTTTTCTGCTCCATTCCACCGAGGCTGGGGAGAGCAGGCAGTGGCTGGGTGGAAGTCTGGCTTCTGGCCAAGGCTATCCCACTGCAGTGGTAAAGCTACAGAAGCTAGATTTTCTCTTTGTATAAGGAGTAATATGCCTTCAGAGACCACCTGCACCCATACGTAACATACACATAAGAACAGCTACTCAATAATGTGAAGCTTACAATTCCACTCTATTGACTAGCAGGTAAAGAACAAAAAGCTTTTATCCAGATTCACCTTTATCAAGCAGCATAAGTTCCTAACACCAGAAAAAGTAAGTCACAGAAGCTCATAAACATAATCAATCATACCACCAAATACAAGCAGTACGGTAAAGATCCTTATCAGCTACAGATCAACCCTAAATTTGAAC